GCTTGGAAATACTCCAGATATAGATGCTGTTCTTTTGCTTATTCAAAACTCCTTCTAGAGATAGTTCAGATGTGACCCAGGCATGGCGACGTTCTGATACTTATTCCAGATTTTCTTTTAGAGATAGCTTGGAAATGCTCCAGATATGGATGTTGTTCTTTTGCTTATTCAAGACTCCTTCTAGAGATAGTTCAGATGTGACCCAGGCATGGCGACGTTCTGATACTTATTCCAGATTTCCTTTCAGAGATAGCTTAGAAATGCTCCAGATATGGATGCTGTTCTTTTGCTTATTCAAGACTCCTTCTAGAGATAGTTCAGATGTGACCCAGGCATGGCGACGTTCTGATACTTATTCCAGATTTCCTTTCAGAGATAGCTTGGAAATGCCCCAGATATGGATGTTGTTCTTTTGCTTATTCAAAACTCCTTCTAGAGATAGTTCAGATGTGACCCAGGCATGGCGACGTTCTGATACTTATTCTAGATTTCCTTTCCAATAATAGCTCAGAGATGCTCTGGACCCGGCTGTTATCCTATTGCTTATTCAGAGATTCCTTTAAGAGATGACCTAGAGATGCTCCAAATCCGGATGCCATTCTATTGCTTATTTAGAGATTCCCTTCTAGAGATGGTTCGGATGCGACCCAGACATGGCGACATTCTGATACTTATTCAGATTTCCTTTGAGATATAGCTTAGAGATGCTCCAGATCCGGGCGCTATTCTATTGCTTATTCAGATTCAAACTTCTAAAGACAACTTAGAGATGCTCCATCCCGGATGCTATTCTATTGTTCAGTCCAGATACGATCCAAATTTGGATGACATTCTGTTACTCATGCAGTATGGATATACCCCATACCCGGCGTTTATTCTACTACTCGTTCAGACGTCAGCAATTAGATATAGACTAGATATTCCCCAGACACGGAAGCTATTCTATTTCTTATTCAACTATCCATTACAGTTCCAAATGGCATCTATAAGCCCATTCCCGACAAGGTTCTGTCACACTTCCAGATGGCATCTATAAGCCCATCCTCCTACCCATCATCTCTCCAAATGGCATCTGTAAGCCCATTCCCGACATCACACTGCTGACATGCTACTATGTGAGTGCAAATTTCTGGGCACTCTAGTGTTCAATCATCTTCCACCCTCGGATCACGAAAGGCACACAAGCCAATCTACATCCTCAGGTCTAAGAAGATTGAACAGGGGCAACTGTTGTACCCCAAAATTTTCCCTCCCATAATCTTCAAAGTTTTGACAAGCATCACCTCAAATGGTTCAAGGCTACTCCAAGGATTGCACAGTCAACCATCCTCCTAAGCCAGTCAAAATTAAGGTTTTGGTTCCTTCAAGGAAGTTGAGGTTTTCAATGGTCCAATCAAGTCCCACATTCCTATAAACATTGTCAAGCACCTACATGTCAAGTTTCAAGGCTCACAAGGTCAAGTTGCACAGTCAAAAACCCTAATTGCTTCACAGTCAACTGTAGGGGCAAAATGGTCATTTGGTAGTCAAAAGTCAAATTTTTGGTCAACATCTTATTTTGAAGCCACAATCATCATTTGGTCAAGTCTTGACCATGATTTCACAAGAATGGCTCAAAAATCATCAAGGTGTCAAAAGTTTCTATTTTTGGACAGTTGAAAAGTCAACTGTAACTTGACCAAGGCATAACTTTTTCATGGTTCATCAGAAAAATCCCATCCAATGCTCATCTTGAAGGAGAAGACATTTCCTACAACTCGTCTTCACATTCCAAGTCCAATAAATGCTCTCACAAAAAGTTATCAATTTCAACATTATAGGTCATTTTCAAAAGTCAACAAAAAGGCACTTTAAGTCAAAGACCATAACTTGATATTGGTAAATTAAAATGACATGGGACGAAATACATTGGTTATAGGACTTCAAGACCTTTCCAAAATGTCCAAGAACATGTTCATAACTTCAAAATTGAGCAAGATATGCATTGGAGAAGTTGGGAAATTTTTGTGAAATGGCCAAAATCATTTATCCTTGAAATTTCATTTTTGACAAAAGGGGCCCACTTTTTCCATTTGAATCAGCTTGACCATGCTTCCCACGTGTCCCACATTTTATTTCAAATTTTAAAATTAATTTTTTCATTTTTATTTGATTTTATTGGATTTAATTCATTTTAAATCCTTTAAAATCAAATAAAAATCAAGAAGGTTAATTAAGGGGGATATTTGGTCTTGATTAGCTTTGAATCATCATTATACAACATCCCAAATTCGTTTCAAGGCCTAATCAAGCAAGAATTCAAAATTGGTACAAAGATGGAAAGTTTGTTAATAGAGGTTTATGGCAAAATCCTAAGTATGAATGCAAGGCTTCAAGGCCCTTAATTCCAATTGAAATACATTACATAATGCATATGCAAGTGATCAAAAAAGAGAGGACACAACCTAGAGAACTCTCTAAAACGAAAAAACAAAAAATTCCACAAAAAAAACCTCATATTCTCTTATACAAAATCCTGTACGGATGCCACTCGATGGAAACCCCCACTTTTCTTCTTGTTGCACTGTAAATTCACTTTTCACGTGCAATTTCCCATGAACCAACTTTAACAAAAATCTCATCAACCAAAACAGAAACCTTACACAAGCTCATGTTCATACCGTTGACACAAGCTCAAAACTGATGCAACCACAAATCATCATCCTCTTGACAGCACCACAACAACATCATTGAGTCATGATAAAGCAACATAAAATTCTAACATTTTCAATTTCATTTATTCTATTTAATTTTCTTTTTGATTGTTTGAATTTTATCCATAAAATTCTTTGTGAAGATCAGGACTGGAATTTGGCTCTCTGAATCAGAAACAGAAGAACGAGAAGCGTCCAAATCGCAGTTCCGTCGCGCAACTGCGTACTCAACCGCCGCTTCCAGATCCGCTTCTGCCGCGACTTCGTGCTCCCTCCTAAATTGGGTCAACACCCCCCATGGTTTGCATCACCTTTCATTTTTCCATTTTTCTTTTCTTCTTTTTATTTTAATTGTTTTTCTTTTGTTTTATTTAATTCACCAAAATTAATCTTAATAATAACACAAAACCAAAAATCAGAAATCATTAAAAAATAAAAATATGTTTTATTTAATTTTTTTAATTCTTTAAATAGTTTTTGTAAATAAATTCCAATAAAACAATTAGTTTAAATTTAGGTTTTTAACTTTAATGTCTTTTTCTAAAATAACTTAAAAAAAAAACATAAAAATTAGGTTATTAGTATCTTTATTCTTTTCTCATTAAATAACTTTTTCTCCTTATTATTATTATTATTATTAATTAATTTTGTAAATAAATATGGCATTTAATTAATTAGGGTAAATTAGGTTAAAACTTAAACATTTTTTTTAATTAAAAACAAATTTAGAACTAGGCTTTTATTTTAATTTTTAATTCCAATTAATTCTCTTTAATTTCATAAATCCAAAAACATAAAAAAATAAGTTCCTTTTTCTCATTTAATAATTAAATCAATTTTCAATTCCAATTTAATTTCTTTAAAGGGTCCAACGCCCTCGCACTCGATTCTTAATTCCTTTCGCGCATTTATTTTTTATTTCTTTTATGAATGTTATGTAATTGCCCCAAGGCCTTGTAATAATAATTAGAGACTTATTTACTTTCTGCACTTTTATTTTAAATCGGGTCTTTGTTAATTTGGCGATGTAGACCCGCGCCTTGTAATAGCGTAGGACCTTTCACTTTCCGCATTTTAAATTCCGCACCTTTAAACTGTTAATCACATGAAAGAATGAATGCCCAAATAAAATCAAAGCGTAGCTCACCTAATGCATGACAAGACAAATAATAATTGAAAATGACACACAATTCACACACCACTCCTAGGGTACGCCTCACTGTTGCCTTGCCCCTCGAAACGTGGTCGTCGAGTACATGACATCTTAGTAAGTCCTTATGTCCATGAACATGGCATAAGGGTAGCTTCTAAGGTGTCCTACTGTTGCTCTGGTGATCACACTGTTGCCTTGCCCCTCGAAACGTGGTCGTCGAGTACAGGACGTCTTAGTAAGTCCTTATGTTCCATTGATCTAGTTGCCTCGAATAAGTTGCCTAGGAACGGTCGCCTCGGAATAAAAAGATCAATGGCATAAGGGTAGCTTCTAAGGTATCTTACCATTGCCCGGTGACCACACTGTCCCTAACCCTCGAATTGACCCGAACACCTCCAACGGTGGTGCTACCTACCTCTCAATGGTGGGATGGCACTACCTTAAGGACATTTGCACAGACTAATTCCTTAGGGTAGGTAGATGACTCGTAGATACTTGCTCTAATTCAAAACAAATCAAAAAAACTTCTTTTCACACCGACACTTCGCAAAAAGCTTTCAAAACAACTTTTCAAACACTCTTGAGGACTGATACAAGAGTCGAACTGAAATTTTAAACGAAACTTTTTCAAAACCCACTCACAATTGAAAAGCAAACACTTTTGAAAACACAGATGAGCAAGTATCTAAGAGCCCATACATTCCCTTTCTATAAATCTACCTCCCGAACCGAGAACTAATCTCAATAAGGAATTTTTCTGTGCTTTTGTCCTTTCCATATTGGAGAAAATAAAAGACGGTGGCGACTCTTGCTTACCGCGACATTTCGCGAAACCAGCGTTAAACAGTCAGTTCTAAATCCACCGATCACAATGTATTTCTTAAATACTTCAAAAATTCATCATTTGCCTATATTAGTTATTTTGCTAATCCTTTTTGTTGTTTAAAACTACTCGAAAACCTCCACCATTCCGAGAAAACGAAAAGAAACTCAACCTCCATCTATACTAGTTGAATCAGATCTTGAAGATCTCTCTTCGGACACAACGAAGCCAGCCAAAAAGAAGAAGAAGACGAAAATAACTGACTTCATCCCTGAACAAAAAGATGATGTGTCCAAAGCAACAAAGTCCACTGCTCATAGAGCATTAAACAATGATCCCAAACCAGATTCAATTATATTTGAACAAGCGGAAAGTGATAGTTCTAGCCATGGGGCTGAAGGACTCAAGGTATTTTGATTTTACTTTGTTTTTCTTTCGTTACACATTTCCCCCGACTAATATGGATTTCTTTTTCTTTTCAGAGTGATCAAACTGGTACTCCAACTTCCAGTATCAAATATGAAATCCATGTGAGCACTGGTTCTCCTTTTGTTCATCTTACATCCTAGAAAGGACCGAACAGAGGATTCAATAGCACGCCAACCTCCTCAGGAAAGTCCAACAAAACGAACTACCCTCTGCTTCTTCTCAATCAACTCAGTCATCTGACTCTACAAGTGAGAGCAAAGATGGAGAACATGCTAACATGGAAATCTAAGTCAATGAAGACCAAGGTCAAGAAAACCCAAATAACTCTTCACCAATAATCCCTCAACATGACGAAAATCAACCGATTGAAGAAGATGAATCTCCTTAGAACATTACTACAAATCCTCTTTCTCAAGAAGCATTTGATGACCTGAATGCCAATAATTCTGCTAGGTATTTTAAGGTGATGATGAGTGTAAGGGTTAGCTCTTATGAGAAAGGTTTCGATTGTTCGACCGCCTCTGGTGGAAACTCCACCGCTCAACCCATTGATAAGATCCTCCGACAAATCAAGGAAAAAGCCTTTGATGTTGATTTAATTGAAGTGCTAGAAAATAATAATCATGCTTTCTATAACATCACAAATTTTCTGAAACAGATGGATATTCTAAAGGTTTACCTAGAGGCTGTACACAACATTTTCGAACTCAGATTTTTTCTGGGCCAAGTTTCTGCAAATCTCTTGCGTAAGCAAGAAGTTTCAACTAAGTTTGGAACCAAACTAGAAACCCAAGTGAAGAGTGTGATGCGGCCGATGAATCTACCAACAAGGTTGAATAGTTGGAGAAGTCTTTTCGCTGAGCAAAAAGGAATTCAAAGATTGTGCTGCCAACATATTCGCCCGGGAAGAACAAATCAAAATGATGCAAGCTAATATCCAGAAAGCTAAAGCTTGCCAAGAGGAAATCAAGAAACTCGACTACAGGGAGATTGATAAGGAGATCAAATTGGGAGTTCACCATGTCGAGAGGGCACAGAAATTATGAAATGAAATTGAAGCTCTTACTCGAAGTAAGTCCATAATCGAACATCATTTGTCGGTATATGTTGGAAAGTACAAACGAATGAAGGCTTCACTTCCTACTGACTTTAGTACTTAGTGAAATGTTATAGTACTTTCAATTTATAATTTTGAAGTCTTTTTTTGAATTTTTAACGAACAACTAAGACATTTTTGGTAATCTTTGTATTATCATTTTTGGCTTTTCATTTTGCATTTTAATTATTCTGTTAATATTTTGACTTCCTATAGTATATGTTTATATTTTTTTAAATACTTACCATTTACTCTCATAAGTCTTCGATCTTTTGCTAACTCTTCAATCTCATAAGCGTTATTCGAAAAGACTTGGATAACTTGAAATAGACCTTTTCAATTTGGGGACCATTTACCCAATGTTCTATCTTTTCAATCCATATGTAGGATAAATTTCCATACCAACTCTCTAATTAAAAAACTTTAATCTTTACCTTTTTATTATAAGATTTCTCTACTCACTTCTTCTGTCTCCTTAACAGTTCCAAGGCATTTAACCTTTTTTCATATAAATCAATCAGTTCATCCAACATCATATTCCAATAGGACTCTGATGTAATCTCATATTTTGTATGTATTCTAGTTTATTTGAGACATATTTCGACTTGTAATACTGCATCGTGCCCATATGCAATCGAAAAGGCATAGCGTTGGTGGCTTCCTTTGGGGATGTTCTACAAGCCCAAAGAATTTGATCTACGGTTTTATGCCAATTCTTTGGCTTCTTTTCCACATGTTTCTTTATTAGTCCAATCACTACTTTATTTTCTGCTTCTACTTGACCATTTTCCTTAGCATAATAAGGTGTGGATGTCAGCAGCTTAATCCCTATTTCTTTAGAAAATTCCCGCATCTTTTGAACAATGAATACTGACCCTTGATCAATTATAATGGTCTCAGGAATTCCAAATCTATAGATTATGTTCCTTTGAATAAATTCAACTACTGCTTCTTGATCAACATTTACCAAAGAGATGGCCTCGATCCATTTAGTAAAGTAATTGATCCCCACTAAAACGTACCTTTGACCTTTAGACGACGCTGGTCAAATTTTGCTAACCAGATCTAAAGCCCAACCTCTAAAAGGACAAGGTTTGATTATTGAGTGTAGTTTGCTCGCAGGAACATGTTGGATGCTGCATGTACCTGGCACTCTTGGCACCCTTTAGATAACTTAATGCAATCTTTCAACATTTGATCCCCACATGCCTTGTCGAAACAAGATTCATTTCATCTTATGTCCAACTTGATAAGCCCTAAGTGCCTCACTATGGACATTCGATAGAGCCAAATACACCTCACTCTCACTAAGGCATTTGAGCAAAATCCCTTCAGGCGTCTTTTTAAATAATTTGTTCCCCATAAGAGTATAACTTAAAGCACGGTACCTGATCTTTCACTCTGTAGATGTAGGATTTTATAAATAATTGACTAGTGGCTTTCTCAAATCTGCATCTGTTAAGTTATCAATGGCAAAAGTTTCAAAATTTTCCTCATCTGCACAACCTAACTTTGTCATTTCCAAATCTAATAGAGATAACCTAGTTACCATTACTCTTCCTCTAACTTCGATTAGGTCTTCCAATTTATCCTTCGACACCTTATATCTAGATGCAATTTGAGCCAAGTCGTTATCCTCCTAATTTTTTAGTCGAGGAATGTGTTTGATGTTTATATACTTAAACCTTCACATCAATATGTTTACTATGACGAAGTACAAGATCAAATTTTCCTTGACACATTTGTATTCTCTATTTATTTGCTTGACAACCAATTCAAAGTTACCTCTTATTTCTACTCTAGTTGCCCCCAAATTGCAACAAGATTTCAAGGCCTGCTATTAGAGCCTTGTATTCGGCCTTGTTGTTCGAGCAAGAACCATCATTCTTATACTTGAATTTTGATGGAATTTTGTTAAGAGAAATAATTAAGAATCATATCCCAGTTCCTTCCCTATGACTGGAACCATCGAAGTATAACTTCCAAGGTTTAAGCTCAACGAAGTCTTTCCGAATTTTGACCAAGGCATGATCGACTGTGAAATCTGAAACTACTTGCCCTTTCATAGGTGTTAAAGGCATGTAAGTTAAAGAATACCCAATTAGAGCAAGTGCCCATTTCCCAATTTGACTATGAAAAATTGGTTTGGAAATCATATGTTTAATTATATCAAAGTGATATGAAACATAAATGTCAATTGCCTTTATATAATGCTTTAGTTTTGTACAAGAGAAGTACATACACAAGCACAACTTTTCAACCATAGTATACCTAGTTTCTGCATCATTAAAGACTCGACTAAGGTAATAAATGGCTCTTTTGACACCATTATTATCCTCTTGAGCAAGCATGCTCCCTATAGTGACATCAAACACAAAAATGTACAACCTCATATTCATATTTCTAAAGGAGGTGATAGCATTGGAGGGTGAACAAGACAGTCTTTGATCTTGTCTAAGGCTTCTTGCAGCAATTTCCCATATTCAAATCCTTCTTTGTTTAGGAGTAGTAAAGGTCAAAAGGATTAAGTCTCGCCACTTAGATTCGAGATGAACCTTCTTAAGAAATTAATCTTTCCTAGAAAAGACTGCAACTCCTTCTTGGTTAATGGCGCTTTCGCTTCCATGATGGCCTTTGTCTTATTTTGATTTATCTCGATCCTTTTATTGTGGACCACAAAGCCCATGAAATCACATGCTTGCACACAAAAATCACATTTAATAGGGTTTATCTTTAGACCATACTTTCTCATCCTATCGAATGACTGTTGAAGATAGTTTAGGTGACTTTTTCCTGATACAGACTTAACCAATGTCATCAATATAAATCTGCATGAAAGTTTCAGTGAAGTCATGGAAAATAGAGTTAATTTCTCTGATAAGTTGCCCCGACATTTTTCAGACCAAAGGGCATAACCACCCATTCGTAGGTACCTAGGGCCCCTGGGTAACAAAAGGTCGTTTTGAGTACATCTTCATCAGCAATAAAAATTTAATTATATCCTGAGTACCCGTCAAGCATGCTAAGATATTTGAAGCCTACGTCTGAATCGACTAGTATTTATGCCACTAGCATATGGTACTCATCCTTTGGGGTTGCAACATTTAAATCTCTAAAATCAATGCAAACCCTCAAGGTTCCATTATTTTTAATTACAGGAACTATGTTAGCAATCCATTCGATATACCTTGTAGTGCGGATGAACTTACACTTGAGCAGCCTTTTGATTTCCTCTTTAATATTCGACAGGATATCTGTGCGAAGCGCCTTGGGATTTTCTTAATTGGTTTCTTCCCAGGCATGATAGGTAACTTCAATTCCACTAGTTCCATGCTTAGTCCAGGAATTTCGTTATAATCTCATTCAAAGCAGTCTTTATAATCTTTTAAGAGTTTGATTACTTCGACTTTGAGTTCTGGGATGAGGTTGACGCTAATATAGGTTGGCCTTCTCGCTTCCCCATCTCCCAATTCTATTTCTTATAAGAGATCATGTGCCAGCATCTTGACATTGGTTGCCACTGGATCCTTTTCAAATCCTAAAGGCTCATCATCATAAATAGCTTAGAGCCTCTGGCTTGTTGTGTCGACGTGTAACCTATCTGGTGGATCTGGTTTGAAATCTACTCTAGGTCCTTCCAGATGAATTTTTGTTTCTTTGGCTCTGTGTTTCCAGTGATTTCTGGTAAACAACCGCTAGTCTTCCAAACTATCGAATAAACTTACTGACTGTTATTCAATTTCTCTGGTAACTCGCAGGATCGACTAGATTGATCCTAGGACTTATTGGTCATTAGGGTAACTCTCATGATCGAACAGATATTCATGGTTGGTATTTAGAATGTTGTGTAGGTGTTTGACTTATTTCGATTTCTCTCTTAAAGATCTAAAGGTGTAATCAAAATATATGTGCGCGAAACTAAATTGCATGAATAAATGTTAATTGTAAAGACATGTAAAATTGCATAAAAGACAAGTAAATGGCTTCGAATGATAAAAACAGTTAATGTAAAAGATGTTCTGGAATGTAAAAGATTCGAAATATGAAGAAAGCGTTTAATGCAAGAAATCTGTAAAATGACTTTAAGTAAAAATAGGCGTTCGAAAGATAAAACTTGAAGATAAAGGCATGAAAAGTATGACAGTTTTCTGAAATGTAAAGTGTTTGAAATGTAAAGAAAGCATTAAAATGCAAGGCTTCAATGAAAAGATTTCGAATAAAAAGACTTTAAATGAGAAAACTTGTAAATGGTATTTGGCAGAAAGATAAAGGAAAGTACTGGAAATGATAAAAGGTTTTCATTAAATCATAAACATGTGGTGCTATCATACGTACATTACTCTTGCATTCGTTTCCCTTGCCATGTGGTAATTTGAATGTTTATTGAGTATTTAGTACAATAGATATGACACCCGAAATCCTAATACTAAGACTTCTATTTATACTACTTCGACCATAACGGTCTTGCTATAAGATTATGCCACATTCAGAACATGCAGAACAATGCCTCTCTCTTGTTTCCACGTGTCTCCAAAATGCTCCAGCACATAAATTTCAAACTTCGAATGTCCCGCTTGCATTTGAATTTCAAATGTTTTGGTACTTCTCCGCTTCGAACGCACTTCTCAAACACAGCCTTGTTGTCATTTCGAGACTTCTTTTAGATATGTTCCCATAATTGCCACTCGAAGCTCCAAGCTTTGATATGCTTATTCGAAACACTGCTTCTGCTATTTCGAAACATGAAGCTTTGTTTCATTTCGATCGAAACGTTCAATTCACCTGGCTTCTAATAATATTATCAAAATCTTCAGCCAACAAAATGCCCCTTTAAAATA